AATCACCCACATTCGGGTTGGTGTCCCCTGTGCGGGCTGCTTGTAGGATGGGCACCTTGTCCCTGGTGTTCAGAAACTCCATCACGATGGGTGGGTTTTCCTGGTGTTTATCCTATTTGGCGATCATTCAGCTCCTGGAATCAAAGGTTGTGTCCTTGGCCAGCCTGGGGGTGGTTTTCAGACATTGTTTCTTCTCGTGACCTCCAGCTGGCTCTCCCTCTCCTTCTGGGTCTCTGGTGGCACGACCGTGGGGTCCTCTGTTACTGGCCCACGGGCCCCTGGGCTTCTTTACTTCTAGTCTGTTTGCCTGTGCTGCTCACATGGGGTAAATGCTCCTGCTGGGCCCTCGAGTCCAGGATCCCCTCCCCGTCAGCCCTGCTCTGCTGTTCCTCACGTTTCTCTTCCTGTATCTTTCAGTTTAATGATTTCTACTTTTTTGGTAACTTTTACGTTCTTGCTGAGATTTTTTTTTTTTCACTTGTTTCAAGAGAATGCACAGTTTGTTGGAGCATGGTTAGGAGCTGCTGGAGAATCTTGGCCAGACAGTTCCAGCACCTGCTTCGTGTCGACACTGTCACCATCCACTGCCCTCTCTCATCCAAGTGAGATTCCCGGTCCTTTTGTGACGAGGGGGCTTTCTGTTTTATCCTGGACTTCCTGAGACCATGTGAGGAGGCTCTGGATTTATGTAGTCTGGTCTCCTTTTTGTGGCAGTCAGTGCTCCTGCCCAGGGCAGCTTGCGGCCACGTGGTGTTGATGTTCGCCTTGCTGCTGGCCCTGCCCTTCCGTCCCGAGACCAGCCAGGGGTGGAGGGCAGCTCACCGCTGGACCTTGCCGACACCTCCCTGGGAGGGGACATCCTAAGGGCCTCCTCCCTCTGGGAAGTGGGGGTGTTAGGAAACATGAGTTTTCTGCTTGGCTTTACTAAACCCACCGTGTGAGGGTTTCCCTGGGTGTAGAGTTGGTTTGGTCTTTCGGCCAGGTGAGCAGGCCTTTCCTGGAGCTGTTTGTCTGTGCCAGCTGATAGTTCCGGAACTTGTGGGGAGGCAACAAGGCCACCAGGGAATGCACCCCTGTCCTCCCTCAGGTCCCGAGGCTCCCAGGCAGCCGCTGTTTGTCCACCTGTCCAGGTCTCCCGTGCTGTGGTTGGGTGGCACCCTGGGTGGAGTTGTTCTGTGAGGCTCTGGGAGGGGTGAGACTGCTCCTTCTTGTCTGGAACCACAAGTTCCTAGCCTGACTGTTTTTAGCATTGCTAATTTGGTAAACATTGTCTCTACAAATACCTCCTCTGTGCTGAGACACTGGAACCCAAGGCAAAGGTAGGGACTTGACTCACCAGTCGGAGAAGCCATCCACGGGAACCTGAAGCATCCCAGAGGAGTCAGGCAGGTAAATCATGGTCTTAGCAGGCAGGGGCATTTTAGAAGGCCTTCCAGAGTCGGATCCCATGTGGAACATGAAGGCTTGAGCCTGGGGTGGTGCCCTGTTTCCTGGTGCAGGAAGGGTTGGGGTAGGACGTGGGGAGAGTTTATAATAAAAAGACTAAAAAGAGAAGAATACCTGTTGTCCTTACCACAGAGGGATCTGTTGCGAGGGAAGGGGAGAGGCGTTCCTACAGCTGGAGCCCCAGGAGGAAAGCACATGTTTCTAGAAGACACAGAACCTTATCTTTCATCCCCTGGGCAGGCAGGGTCCGTGTGTTGCCCGATGGCCATTGTGGGGGGTGGCCACGGGGTGCAGACCCCTTGATGACGAGCTGTCCAGAGCACACGCCGTGGGCAGCCTTACATGCAGAGGGAACAGGTGGGCTCACTGGCCACAGGGTCAGCGGCGCATTGGTCCAGCTCTGACCACACCACGGAGACCCTGCTCCTTCGTCTGCCTCTCAGCCCTGCCTCCTCTTCCAAGGCTTTCTGCTCCAGAGAGTTCTCTCCTCACAGGGAGGCGCCGTGTGGGCTCAGGCACAGAGGTTTTCAGACAAACGGTTGCTGGACCACTAAGACTGAGAAAACGGTGCCCAGTAAACCGTGGTGCCCCGTGTATTAAAAGTTGTACACAGAGTTGAGGTTTCTGTGGGGACAGAGACAGGCGGGGAGCTGAGGCCCCATGGGGCCATGTCCCCACCCACAGGCCAGCCAGAGGCCGGTGTGTGCAAAGCTGCCCTCGGTGGGTGTGTAGTGGCGTGGGCCCCCCTCCCTGCAGCCGTTGCTGGGCCAGGCGTTGCTGGGCCAGGAAGAGCCCCAGGGACCAGAGCAGCCTCCCCTCCCAAGGGAGGTTCTGCAGGGGGGTCCACAGGAGGTGGTCTGCAGAGGGGTCTGCAGGGCGGTCTGTGGGGGGTGGGCCACAGGGGAGTCTGTAGGGAGTCTGTAGAAGGGTCTGTGGGGATCCACAGAGGGGTCCTCAGGGGGTCTGCAGGGCGGTCTGTGGGGCCGCCTAAGGAGGGGGGTGGGATCCGCAGGGGGTCTGCAGAGGGGTCCTTGGGGGGTCTGTAGGGCAGTCCGCAGGCGACCTAAGGAGGGGGGTGGATCCGCAGGGGGCCTGCAGAGGGGTCCTTAGTGGGAGGTCTGCAGAGAGGGCCTGCAGAGGGGTCCTTAGTGGGAGGTCTGCAGAGGGGTCCTTGGGGGGTCTGCAGGGCGGTGCGCAGGGGACCTAAGGAGGGGGGTGGATCCGCAGGGGGCCTGCAGAGGGGTCCTTAGTGGGAGGTCGGCAGAGGGGTCTGCAGGGGGTCTATAGGGCAGTCCGCAGGGGGGAGGTCTGCAGAGGGGTCCGCAGGGGACCTAAGGAGGGGGTGGATCTGCAAGGGGTCTGCAGAGGGGTCCTTGGGGGGGGTCTGCAGAGGGGTCCTTAGGGGGAGGTCTGCAGAGGGGTCTGCAGGGGATTCCGCATGGGGGCTCTGGGTCAGGCCTCAGAATGGACCGAGGCACCTGCGCCCAGAGGGGCTTGTTGCAGGGGAAGGACCCCTCGGGCCTGGTGTGGAGGTTCCACACTGTGCATCGTCCCTTGAGTTGTCCAGGTCCACACGTGCCTGCCCAGATGTCACTGCTAATTTATTTTCTCTCTTGTCCATTCCGATCTCAGCCTCCCGTGGGTCCCCCCCTGGCGCCTGTGCCCAGGGGCCAAGCTGGCTCTTGCTCGCAGCCCCCGGGCAACTCATGCTTCATCTCCTTGAGTGTAGACGCGGAGAATCCCCTCCTTCCAGGAGGCCGAGAGGGTCAGAAGTCACATGGTCCCTGTCAGCCATGACCGTTCTATGTCACGGACGATGAGGGACATGAGGCCGCACGCCCGGCCCACTGGGGTGGACACTGTCTGGGAGCCTCCAACGGGAGCGATGCCCCAGTACTCAGCCATGGATTTCGATTTGCCCTTGTGTTTGGACAGAAGGAAACATGCAGTTCGAGCACGTCACTCGGGTCTGTTGGGAGGGACTCTGACCCAGCGATGGCTGGATTTCTCCTCCCCGCAAGTCGAGCGGTTTCCTGCATCGCTTCCTGCAGGGGGAGTCCTTCTGGGGAGAGGGTCAGACACTCGCTGTCCAGCCTTGCCTCCCTTGGAGGGAGCGCCTGCTGCAGCGGCTGTGGCTCTGCTAAGTCACCTCCTTAAGTAGTCAGTCGGTCAGTCCGTTGCGTCTGGAGCGATTTTAACGCTTTCATAGTGTTTGCACGTGCGCCACGTGAAGCCCAGCCCAGTGTGGGCTCAGCTGGGGCTCCGTGTGCGTGGGGTTGGATGCTCCCCAGCGCGGCCACGGGCAGTGGGGCCCTTGGAGTCCCCGTGTGCCCGCAAGGCCACCCTGCGCCTAGAACACCGGGAACCGCGTTAGCGAAGACCCCTCGCGCGTCGCTGTGACCAGCCTGCCCGTCGGAAATGGGAACCTGAGTGAAAACACAGGAGGGAAGGCAGCAGGGTCCAGGGAGCTGCCCTCCGGTCCCTGCGGAGGTGCCCGATGGCCTGCCAGGCTGCAGGCCCTCCCGATAACCCTGAAGCATATGCAGTCGTTCTCAGCCTACCATTTCCACAGAGGCTACGTTGCCCCAGGGCATCCGCCTCATGCTGTGGACTGAATCGTGTCCCTCCTCAGAAGTTCACATAACCCCCCAAACCTCTGAATGCGGCTGCGTTCGGGGATAGGGCTTTTGCCGACGTGATTAGGGTGGTCTAGGTCCAGTGTGACAGGTGTCCTAGGAAGCAGAGGAGATGAGGGTGCAGGTACACGGAGGGATGACCACGGGAAGACACGGGGGTGGGGGGCGGGTAGACGGCCGTCTGCACGCCCAGGAGATGCCTCAGGAGAGGGACCGGCCCTGCCACGCCTGGATCTCGGACCTCCAGCCTCCAGGATATGAGGAGCACATTCCCGGTGTTTAAGCCGCCCGTCAGCGATGTGCATGGCCACCTGAGCTGGCTGACGCACCTGCTGTGTGGGAACCGCTGGGATGCCGACCCAGAGAGCCTGGGTCCAGAGTGAAGAAGAGCATGTTTTGCTGCGGAGCTGAGATTGGGAACCCGGGCGTGGCCCTGGAACCCCATCCAGCAGGCGAGGCACGGGGGTTTCTGGAAGACGTAGCTTCCTGGCCGGTCAGCTCGTGACAACACACACTCTGAGCGGTTGTTTTGAGGACCAGGTAAGCCTGGGAAGTGGCACACAGATAGTAATTACTAGTAACATACTGATGCTTTATGAAGAAAGCCTGCTTTTTCTCACAAAAACGTCTTCTGTGTCTCTGCTTCACTCCCTCAGTGATGGCAGGAACGTGAGGAGCCGCGTGGTATTAATGAGGCCTAGGTTTCCAGCGCTGACCTAACGGGGTTCGTGGTCTTGGGATCCCATGGTCTCAGCGGGGGTTTAGGCGTGCTGCTTAAAAGTACCACTACCTGCCTAAGGACTTGGGTTAGGGTCTGAGCACTCTTAACCTCTTGAGAACACCAGACTTAACGGTTTCTGAAATTAGGGCAGAAACCTCCCACTAGCCATCTGGGGTCCCAGTTACCACCTGGGCCAGGGGCATAAAGGAGGCAGGTCCCCAAATGCCAGGGGTTCTGGGAGATGAGCATCCTACAAGGATGCCGAGGATTTATGTCCATCAGATTTTCCACGGGAAATGGGGTTTTGTGGTCACGGCCAAGAGGCAGGTTTGTACCCCGGGTCCCATGAATGTGATTGTGAATCTCCGTGGTGCAGTTGTGCTGGGAGAAAGGCGTCGTGCTGGTTGAAGCCTCCTCGGGAACCACGTCTTGTTGCTGGTCTTTGCTGGGCTGAAGGTGTCTTTCCTTAGAAGGTCCGTGGCAGAGTTTAAAAGCCCATGGGCATTTCCAGAGGAAAGCCAGATCCGCCAGGGACTGTGCCCAAGGGCAGAAAGCATCAAGATTTCTTGTCTGGTGGCCTGGCCCCATTGTGGGACTGGAATTATTCTGGGAACTTGGGACTCTCAACCAAACAGGGGTCACAGGGACAGTGTCATCACCAACAGACCTGGGCGGCGTCTTGTGGAGTGTGTTTGCCGATAAGCTCCATCCATCTCTGTGTAAATCCCGGGACACCTGCCACCTCCTCGACCGGCCCTCTGGCAGGTGTGCAGGCTCCCCTCTGCTCGGTGCTTCCTCCTCCCTGGCGCCCTGTCCCCAGTGCCCGACGCCGTCTGCTGTAGGCATCCCTGTCTCCCACCCAAGGGTAAGCAGCTTCAAGGCAAAGATCTCCTATCACTGGGGCTGCTTGCTGCTACAAGTGACCAGTCCCCATGTGACTGGTGAACAGAACACGGAAGGAAGCCGTGGAGTCACTCACAGGAGCCCGAAGGCTGAGCCTGCACATGTGCACTCTCGGACGAGGGATAAAGCACAACCTGGCCCATCCAGCAATGGAATATTATCAGCCCTGAGAAGGAAGGACATATTTACCCCACTACCCCATGGATGAGCCTTGAGGACAGAAGCTGGACTCAGAAGCACAAATACAACGTGCCTCCATGTGTGTGAGGTCCTGCGAGGTGTCCGATCCTTAGAGGTGGGAGGTGGGTGGTGGGTGCAGGGCTGGGGGAGGGCCTTGGGCCCGGGAGGAGACCCGAGGTGCCAAGCTGGACGGGGGGCTGCACAGTGTGGACGCCCCCAGCGCTGCCCACCCACCTGCTTCTCAGCTGTGTGAGCAGCTCCTGGGCTCCGGGCAGTCTCTGTATCCTCAGGACCTCCAGCTCCAATGCCGTGCTCCCCTCAGTCCTGCAGAAAGAAGCAGTTTGTTGCCCTCAGTGTGCACGCCAAAGCCCGTTTTTTAAGATGCTTATTCTTGGCGGGTTGCTTGGGGGTCCCTTGAGTACTTGAGAGACAGGCCCCGTTTGGTGTATCTGAAGAGTAGGAAATGCTCGGAAACTCTCGTGGGGAAGAAAGAAAGCGTTCTCACCGTTTTCCACATTAGAATTCCCTACAGCGCACCCGCGAACTGGGGGGAAACGTGTCTTCTTGCCAGCATGTTTGAATCGGAACCTCTGACTAGAAATGGGATGTGGTCAGGGTTCCAGCGGCAATGAGCTGCTTTCTCTGAGCTCCTGCTTCTCCATGTCACTGGATGGGGGGTAAGTCGAGTTTGGGGGACAGTCACCCGCCTGTGCCCAGACAGGAGCCCTGACCCTAGCGCTGGCCGGGCACCTCCAGCTCTGCTGGGGGGTGGGTGAGAATGATGCCGGGTCCTTCTAGAAGAGGGAGCCAGTTCACCTCGGGGGGAGCATTCCTGCTACTCGCGGAAAACGCTGACCTTTAGCCAGAGAACACATTCACGTGCTGTGGTTTTGACTTGAAGATTTACAAAAGAGAAAGCTCGAGACTGTCCCCGTGGGGGCCGTTCATCGCTTCCTCCTGAGTTTGCAGCATATCCGTGGGGCTGCTGATGTGTGACTTTCATGAAAGACGCCCTGTGTGCCTTTCCAGTCTTTCAGGGGTTTTCCCTAATTAATTCTCATTGTATCTGGCCGTCCTTCCTTTGCTTTCCAGAAGGTTGGGTAAATGGCCAGTTGTTCCTAGACAAATAACAGAAGCATTCTAAGATTAAGGACTTCCTTTAAAAAAAAAAATCACTGCTACCGAACTTCCCAAAGTCTTGGCTTTTAAAAAATAATACTTTAAACGTAGAGCTGAACAGACTCGAGAGGATGTCTAAGCTGATGTTTGTCGACGGGATTCTGCAGATGCAGCACCGGAGGGCCCCAGAGGCTGAGCACGTGGCCAGTGGTCCGTGTGTGACTCCTGACCTCAGCACCTTGGGATCTGGGCGCCCCCTCCCCCACAGCCCCAACTGTCACACCTGGAAATACAGCACAAGAGACCAGAAATGTGTTAATATTCATTCTGCAGAACTCTTTCCAGGGGGCAGAGGGAAACTCCACAGTCTCAGGGTGTGAGCAGGAGGGCCGGGGACAGAGATGGAAAAGTGGCTGATAGATCGGTACACATCAGTGATAGATTGATATAGATCAACGACAGATCGATGACGAGAACTCATCGTTAAAGATATTCACACTCGCTTCTAAAGATTGAGAAGATGCCTGCTTCTTACGGCCTGAAGGTCAGCCTTGGTGGTCAAACCACAGAACTCCACTTTCTTCCCCGGGGTAGGCTAGTGTCATCGTGACCCCCGCTAAAGGTAATTTATCTGTCTTCAACGACAACGTAAAAGGTTAATGGCAATCTGTAATTATGAACAGTAATCTGTGGATGAGTGAGTCATTGTTGTGCCTCGTAGGGTTCTTGCTGTAGTGGGAGGGCCGGGGAGCGTCGAATTTGTTTGATGTCACACACCTGGATGTTGTGCCTGATGTGGTGGGCCCTGCGTGCACGCGTGGACCTCAGCGTCTGGCCGGCTCCGGGCTGTGCAGACGGCGAGCATGCAGGGTCCCCTTCCCCCTGCTAACTTATGTGTGATGTAAATCGTGGCTGGTGGAGAGCAGATGTTACCCCGCTTCCCACGGAACCTCCTGCAGCAGCTCCAACGCAGCCTAAAAATAGACCTTTTGGAAAAGAGCCTGTGACCCTCCGTCACCCCTGCTCTGGGTAAAGGAAGTGCAGGAAGGGGAAGCCAAGGGGAGCCTGGGCCCGGAAGGCCCTGGAAGGAGAGGCATACTGCCCCCCCTCCCTCCCTCCTTCCCTCCCTCCCCGGCCCCCGGTCCTCGGTCCCTGCAGGCGCCAGAACACCAGCTGCCCAAGGAAACCAGGAAGCCAGGGGCCTGCTTTCCAAACACTGACCATATTGTGCCTCCTCCTCTGGGTGTCAGCCGGGAAGGGGAAATGTGAGAATCTGTCAGGAGGAACACAAACGTGGCTTGCCTGGGGGACCTGGCGGGAGCAGAGCCCACAGCGGCCCCCTGCGGCCCCGCAGCACCCCCACGCGTGGACACGTCCTGCGGGGGGGCCGTGGCCCCAGGGAGAAGTGCTTGAGGCCGGCTGCTCACTGGGACACGGGAGAGCCCGCCTGGCCATGCTCCCTCTGAGGCAGCCACACACCCTACCGTAGAGCGAAACAGCCGCCATGTCACCTGAGAGGCTCCCTCGCAGACAGGACACCTCGCCCGCTCCCGATGGCCCTCACGGCACCCCTGGGCCTCCTGGGCCCAGACTGAGCCTGCGGACACTGAGCACGCGGAACAGGGGCTGGGCCCGGGGACAGCCTGTTTAAGAGGCATCCCTGTGACTGAAGAGCAGATGCGCAAGGTGAACAGGATCGGCCACACGCATTCTGTCTGCCCTCCCGGCCTGCCCTTCCTGGAGTGAATGCCGTGCGTCCACACGGAAGCTTTGCGCATTTGTCTGTGCTTGGACTCGAGTTTCCAGCGCCCTGCCTGTCTGAGGACAGAGGCCGTCCCCCTTCGCCCTGAGGCCCCGCTCCTGCTGGTGGATGGCGGGGGCTGCAGCGTCCCTGAGCACACCGAGGGGCCCGGCTCTGCAGGAGAAGGGGCCGGGAAGCCAGTGTCCCCGCGCCGAGGTCCTTGGCTGGCCCTTGTCCAGATTGAGGGTTAATTAAGTCCTGTCGCCTGGGGCAGGGAACCAAACCCAGCCACGGCCCCAGCGTTGGTGCAGAGTTGTGAACAAAGCCACTTTCATGGGGAGCGCTGAGCTTGCTGTTTTCTGGAACAGGGACAGGGTAACAGGGACAAAGCAGGACCTTATTTCCCTCCTGCCTCTTCTCCGCTGGTGGCAATCTCCGGCGCCATGAGGGCGTGGCATGGGACTCCCAGGATCGCCGTGCCCCAGGGACATGGGAGCGGGCAGCCCCCGTGGCTGCAGCAGGGCCCCCCTGAGAGCACCGTCAGTCACCCACTGTGGGCTTGACCGGGAAACGGTCCCTTTGGCCCCGAGGTTCAGGGCTGCTCCTTGGCCTGGGGGTGATCAGGACATCCACCCTGACTCCTCGGGGCCAGACCCACATCCTGCCCTGGACTTTTCCCTTTCTCTTCTGAGCCACTGCAAACTCATCCATTAATTCATAGCAGGTGTGAGAAGCTCCCAGGAGCACCATCCTGGTGGTGGGGGCCCAGCTGGGAGCACAGAGCCCTCGGATGTTACAGTCATTCCCATGGCATCCACTTAGGTTAGTGGAAACCCACGTACTTCCAGGCTCCCACTGAATGTGCTTCCTCCAGAAAGCCTTCCAGCTCCCCGCTCAGGCAGAAGGAGAGTCTCCTGCAGGTGCCTCTGAAGCCCACAGGCTGACCTTCTGGCAACACGCTCACCTGGAAGCCAGCAGCCAGCACCGTGCTCGCAGGTGGTTGGCGCTCAGCAGCTCCATCTTACATGGGAAATGGACACGGGGACGCACTAACTGAGGATGTTGTCTTACTACCAAGAAGACAATTGCAGGAGGAGGCAAGCACCTCGAATCTTTGTTTTCCCATCCCAGCTTCACTTGACAGGATTGGAGGGTGGGGTTGCAGCCCATCCAGTTGGCTGATTTATTTACAAACTTTATTTTATTTTGAGAGAGAGCGGGGAGGGGCAGAGGGAGAGAGAGAATCCTCAAGCAGGCTCCCTGCTCAGCGCAGAGCCCGACGCAGGGCTCGATCTCACGACCCTGAGATCCTGACCTGAGCCCAAACCAAGAGCTGGACTGTGCCACCGACAGAGCCACCCATGCACCCAACAAACGTGTGTTTTAGGAGGTTTTCTGTGGAAGGTCATCCAGGCATGCGGGGCGCCTCCCAATTGGGAGTAAGACCACACTGCCCCAGGGCTTTGGAGGTGCAGGAGGTGTGCATGCGGATCAGATGCAGCCCTGGTGGTGACCACGGGCGTCAGCGTGGACGCTGGGGGCAGTGCCCGTGCCTGGGGACTCACAGTGCGGTTTGTACAGACACGACATTAGCGCTGGGCTCTTCGGTAAAGACGTGTTTCCTGAGTGTTTAAAACATGAACACTGAAATTGGCTCCCTGCTTCCTCCCCGATTGGCAAGGTGCTGTTTCAAAGTTTGTTTTTGATTTTCATCACTTTTACTATTGAGTGAATGTGTATGGTTTTCTTTTTACTTATCTTGCTTCGATTTCATGGATTTTTCTTAAACCCATGGCTTGATTTCTTCAGTGTGTAGGGGGGAGTTCTCAGTAAGTACCGTTCCCGGGCTTGCTTGTGCCTCATTCCGCTCCTCCTTGGCCCCCGTTATGTGTGTGTTAGAACTCCTCACCACGTAGCGTCGTTCCCTTCCCCGTCTCCCGTGCCTTTCCTGCCAGTGCTTCTGGCTCGATACTCCTCTGACTTACCTCCAGCTCAAGCATCAGCGCCTTCACCATGCATCTGCTGATGGAATCGTTGGCCTCCTGCTTCTTTTCATTAATTTTATTTTCACGTCATCCTAGGATTTCCACTCGATTATTCTTAATGCACTCCAGTTCTTCTGTGAAATTCTCTTATATTTTTCTGAAATGTTTTCCATTTACTTTTCAAGTGTGTGTCTTTTAACTCCAATGCATAGACAGCTGTGGCTGTTCTTCTTTCTCTCTTTTCTCTTTTTTTCTCTTGATTTTCATTTCTGTGTTCTGGTACCCATTACTAGCATGCTTGGTCAGTTTTTTAAATTAAATATTTGAATTGTGTTTGAAAATTACAGGTAAATAGATAGGTGGGTGAATGGATGGATGATGGATAGATGAATGGATGGATGGATGATAGATGGGTGGATGGGTGGATGGGTGGATAGTTAGGTAGGCGGATGGATGGATGATGGATGGATGATAGATAAATAGACGGGGTGGATGGATGGTTAGTCAGGTGGATAGATGGATGGTAGAGAGATAGGTGTGTCGATGGATGGATCGACTATAGATGGGTGGATGGATGGATGATCAGTGGATGGATGCTAGATGATCAGGTGGGTGGGTGGATGGATGGATGGATGGATCAATCGATCTATAATAGAAGCAGGCTTTGGAGGGTAATATTTACTTCCAGAAGAAGATATTCTCTGGGACAGATTACTGAGATCTGGGGGGGTGGAGGCTCATCTGTTTCTGGCACTGGTATCCCCACAGTGTAGCCTTCAGGGGCCTCACCTTGAATCTTAGGTAAGTGCTTTGGGCTCCCCGGTTGTTTTTCGGCCCCACCATGAAACTGCTCAAATCCCTGCTTATTCTGTGGCTTCTCAGCAGCCACTTCCATCTCGGTTCCAGGCGTTTGGCTCTGTTCTCCAAGCTGAGGAGTCAGAAACACCTGCAGGGGAGGCTGTGCTCGGAATGGTTCTTCACTTCCCTCAAGTCCCGGCTGCCCACATAGCTCGGCCTCAGTTTTTATCTCTGCAGATCATCAGTGGGATTTCCACAGCCCTAACCACGGGCTTAGGTCCAGCCTCTAATCCACGTGCTGCCAAATGGGTCTGTGGCCGGGATGTGTGACTTGCCCTAATGTTGCCCCTTTCCTGGAAATGAGTAATATGAGTGATGTGGAATTTATAAAAACTTGATCATGCTTTTATCCACCCTCCCTTGTTCTAAAGCAGAAACCAAAATAACCTGTATTTCTTACAATGTTATTTTATTGACCCTGGTAGATTTGCCCAGTTCTTAAAGCTAAGTATTTTTTTGTTGTTGTTTTTTATTTTAAAAAGGCAAGATTTAAAAAATATCCAGAAATAATGACAATGCAGGGCCTCAAGCAGATGGGCATTTTGTCAGGGAAATGTATAAAATTCGGTGGAGTGTGTGGACTTGGTGTTAAACAGCAGGTTTTCATGGTGCTTGACCGCACGCCCTGAGCGACTGGGGCTGAACCAGGGTCTGTGCCCCTTTCGGGGGCAAGGTCACCAGCCAGCAGGTGGGACGTTTACCAGAAAGCTCGTGGCCCAGGGTGTGGGCCGAGCTACCCGCTGGGGACAGATGGAGCTTAAGCACCCACCCAGCCACAGCCCCTGGGCCTGCTCTTTCTGGAAAGTGGGTCTTCTCTGTGGAGCGTCTCCTGCTGGTGTGCAGAGAGAAGGCCTGGCCCTTTCTAAAGTGAGAGCCGGCCTGCGGGATGGGCAGGGTCCATCTGTAAGTACACAGGCCTTCAGGGGGTGACACTGTGTGTGCTGCATGCCCTTGTCCTTGCAACGAGCTTGCAAGACGCCCCTCAGCTCACCTGGCGTGCCAGAGCCGGGTGTGGGCCCTGTGTTCCACACCGTGCGTTTGGGGAGCATGCCGGGCAAGAGTGACCCGCCCATGGTGGAATCCGGCCCCTCGCCTGTGGCACGCATCTCCAGAATTGACCCCGTTCCTTCCAGGACAGAGACCAAGCCTGTAAGCGAGTCTCTGTTCTGCTTTCTCTGCCGCAGATACTCGAGGCTGCGCTGAGATCCTGCATCGCGCGGTGGGGATGTCCGAGAGCCCCGTGGGGCCCAAACCCGCGATGCTCCAGGCCGACATGCCGGCGGCACCTGCCTTTCAGCGGGCGTTCACGTCCTCCTGCACCATCTCCAGCAGCAGCCCTGGCCAGCAGCGGGACAGGTAGGGAGACGGGCCCTTGAACGCAGCACAGACCCTGACCACAGGCCCCGGGAGGGGAGGGCAGGGGGGCTTCACCTGCAGCTGACGCCCGGCTGCTCTTGATTCAGAAATGTAATCACAGATACAAACCCCGAAGACTGTGGCCCCCTCCCCAGTGTTGACAGGCTGAGCACTCAGGGACCACACCGGCAGGTGGAGTCTGGGGCCAGTTAAGGACCAGGCGTCTGTGACCACGTGCTCTGAGCTGAGGCTGGAGCAGGGATGCGGGGGGCTGGCCGGGGCTTAGTCTCCTTGGTGGCCGGGCCAGGCCGACTCCAGACTGGGCGGAGGGGCAGGCAGGCAGGATGGTGGTGGTCCTGGGGACGTAGAGGTTGTGCCGGTGTTCGGGAAAGCGCGGGGACAGCCCTCGGGGGGATTAGGAGAGCAGAAAGGGGGAATGCAGACACCGAGCCGCTGCATGGGCCCAGGGTAGGAACGGCTCCTGAGTGGCTCCCTTGGGCAAGGACACGGCGTCCCAGTTCACTCTTCTCATCCTGCCTCCTGACTCTACAAGGGGGGTCAGCTGAGGACGTCGCACACAGAGCACAAAGTGTTTGTTAGTGAGGTGTGTGTGATGTGTTGGCTTGGCGGCTGACTTTCTGGATTTCTAACCCTACGGTACTTTCTGATACTCTCGATCTGGGAAATCCCGGTTTTGGATATGGTAACTTCTTATGATCCTTTTTTTTTTTTTAAACAACCTGTATTTTATTTTATTTTTTAAGTAGGCTCCACGCCCAGTGTGGAGCCCAGTGCGAGACTTGAACTCACAATCCTGAGTCAAGACCTGAGCTGAGATCAAGCCCCGGCTGCTTAACCCACTGAGCCCCCCAGGCGCCCTAACTTCTCCTGTTCTTACTGGGATCCCATAATCAGCTGGTTTTCCAGCAAGCACTTAGTGGAAACTGAGTCAGGCCCCCATGTTAGCTCTCGGGGGAGGAGGATGAAGAAAGCGGGGGACCCGGTCTGTGCCCAGGGAACGATGCTCTGCCAGGAGCAGTATATGGTGAACCGTGCGGTTGACCTTGGAGGGAGGCACACGGGGACGCGGGCTGTGAGCTGGACACGGGGCCGTGGTTGAGTTTTGTCTGGAGCGGAAGGGGCTTTGCTGGGTGAAGAGCGAGGAAGGATATCACCAGAGCACTGGGGGACCCTTGCCGATCTCGGGGCGTCTCCTAGGGCCGGGCGTTCTCACTGCTGTGTCCTTCCCACAGCCCTTCATCTGCCGAGCTCCCGTGGGTGGAGAGCAGCCCCAAAGCCACGCTGGCTCTGCTGGGGAGCAGCCGGCCGGCAGGAAGCCTCCTTGGCTCCGGAGAGTTCCCCAGCCCTGGCCCCGATGGCCCTGGGCGGCCCCACCTCCCGCCCGCGGAGCTCCAGGCCTCTTTCCACAACCACGAGCTGTCGCTGGCGGAGCCCCCCGAAGCTCTGGGCCCCCCGAGTGGCCAGGCCTTCCTGAGTTTCAGCACGGCCCCCGTGGGAAGCGGCCTTCCCCCCGGGGAGGACCCGGGCGCCTTGCTGGCTCATTCCCACGGAGCACCCCAGGCCCCTGGCACCCCGCGGACAACAGCAGTGGCCGACAACGGCTTCCTGTCCCAAGGCTTCCTCGTGACGCCTGACCACAGTGGCCACCACAGCCCAGGACTGCCGGGCCAGGGCCTGACTCTGCCTGGGCAGCCGCCCCTTCCCGAGAAGAAGCGAGCCTCAGAGGGGGACCGGTCTTTGGGTTCGGCCTCCCCGTCCTCAAGCGGCTTTTCCAGCCCGCACAGCGGGAGCACCATGAGCATCCCGTTCCCAAACATCCTCCCGGACTTCCCCAAGCCTTTGGAGGCTGCAGCGCCCTCCCCAGGTAGGCACGTGTCGGCAGTGGTGGGCGCCCCCACCTGCGTTCACTCAGCAGAGGCGGGGGACCCTGGGATTCCCCGGCGGCGCCTTGAGAGTGAAGCCCAGAGCCTTCCCTCGGGTCTTCCCCTCGTCCTCCGTTCCCCTCTGCTCTGCACTCACCCACATCGGCTTCTGTTTCTCCCGCCACTTGTAATCCTCGTTCTTCAAAAATAACCTTTCTTTTCTCAATTCAGTGAATTCATTCAATTTAATTCAGTATTTCAAATTTAATTTGTATTTAATTTAATGCAGTATTTCAAACACGTATGAAGAAGATCCTGACATGATTAGGCCACACCGCGCTGCTCGGTCTGTGGAGAGCCACCCGGCGCCGGCCGTGTGTCGCGCCCCATCTGTGCTGTGTGGGTCGAGAAGCACCTGCTCCCTGTCGCACCCCCCAGCCGGTTCCCATGGAGTTAGAGAGAGTGCTCTTCCCCCGAGACACACCGTCCTCTCCCTGGGTTGGACTTTGAGCGTTGGGTTCCGTGTGAGGTGAGATGTTGCAATAAAATGTCCAGGGTGACTGTTTTTATATTCTCTTTTACAGATAATCCGGGTGATAAGCATGTGTCTGTGAACTTTGTCCAAGACACATCCAAATTCTGGTACAAGGCAGATATCTCCAGAGAGCAAGGTGCGTGGGCAGGATGGGACCCTGGGGTGGCGACGTCCGAGGGTCACAGCCTTGGGATGAAGGGTTAGGGCAAGGCTCACGCTTTGTTACACACCCCTGTGGAAAATGCAACAGATTGTCCCAGGAGGATGCTCCCCGTCGCCATCCAGGCCCTGAGCCACAGGAGCCGACGGTCAGGAGGAAGGACAGAGGTTTCTCCAGCACCCTGGTATCTGTCCACGGCGGACAGACACATGGTTCCCGAGGGGGCGTGTGTTGGAAGTAACCATGAGCCTCACACATGTGCTGCGCAGCATCTGTGTGCCCGGGGCGGCCAGCAGACATCTGACGTTGTTAGTATGTTTAAGCAGCTAATGCCACTTCTTCCCGGAGAACGAACAGAAGAGGGGTCCAGGAGGGAGGTGGCCCCGCGAGGCAGCCCCGGGGGCCAGCAGCTCTCGTCCTGCAGCAGGATTCGTGGGGTCGCTGTGACATGCTGGTCCTCCCCGGAGGAAACCCGGGGACTGCTAGCGGGCGCGGGGCTGGGCCGGGGAGAGTGTACCTTGGACCCAGGAGGAGGGATGCACGACATGGCTCCCCCGTGCAGCCCGCACGGCTTATAGCTTCGGGGAGAAAGTCATCCGGGGTCATCCTGAGGCTTACTCCCCAACCTGCCTGGAAAGAAAGAGTTAAGTGGCTGGCAAACAGCACTGTTCAGCTTTCTCTCTAGAATTTTTCTATTCAATTAAGTAGCTCATAAAAATGGTAAGAATGTGCCTTTCTTCCCCCGAGCTCAAGGAACCTATTGTCATTTTTCGTGGGGAGAGCCCGCGGCCCGGAGAGACCTCCGATTCCCTGAATTGGCCTTTGTGGCCGTGCTGCCCAGCTCGGGTCTGGGCTGTGCGTGGCCGAGTGCCCCATTCTTGTCCCCTCCCTGCCCGTGGCACGGGATATGGAGGCTGTGAGCCCAGCACCCCAGCACCTCGTCCAGCTGGAGGGGCTGAGAAAGGCCTGTGACATGTTCTAGCAAATTCTGTGCAGACCACGTACGCTGCTGGTGTGGCATCTGGGCCGGGATGGCGGGCTGGGCAGGGGCTGCTGGAGCGACTGGGGCTCCACTTTCGAGGCAGGTGGCAAGTGCCAGGCAGTCCCTGCAGGATGGATGTGGCAGATCCAACCTCACCGGGTTCTGGAGGGTTCCCCGTGGGAGGCACCTGATAAGCCCACAAGGGAGGGGTGGTGGGCTCTGGAAACACCAGCTAAGAGAGGCCGTGGGGACATGGCCACTGACTTCACTGGCCTCACGGGGGAACATGAGGCCCCCACGGGGCAGGGCCTCGTCCTGTGGGGTGGGTCCCCCTCATTCTATTTCAGAACAGGGTCTGACATTAACCCCAATCTCCCCTCGGTGGGGGGGCAGCCCCGGCTTCTGCTCCATCTGCGGCCATGACACTGGGGCACTTCTGTCCCACCCCCACCCCCCCAGCAAAATAAGATCACGACATTAAAAGGGGAAACCAAAAACTCTGGTGAGGTATATCATGACTGAAAACATGCAATTCTATCAGAGATCTTTTCCCTACGGCAACAGAATAACGCACTGTCAGCCCCCAGATGCAGACACCTGCCACTAACAGGGGCCTGCTGGTGCCCGTGCGTGCCCGCCTCCCCACCAGCCCCCACACCCGTGTGGGTGACCCTCGGGGTTAAGCACAGGCCCTCGCAGGCCTGCACCAAAGCTGCCCCCCTTCCAGAGAGCAGTGCCTTCCCCATCCGGCAGGCCCCACTTGGAGAGTGGAGGGCAGGGATTTTATTTGTAAAACCATTATTAGCTAGATGGCCCCCCAGCCTCAGGTAGGGAAGATGGGAGGGCAGGTCGGCCAGGCCCAACCATCAGCCCTGACTGGGTAGGGCACTCACAGCCCCATCCAGGCTGCATGCAGTCGGCCACGGAGCCACGGGACGGAGGGCCACTTACGGCCACATTTTTGCCATCCCCTGGGGTGAACCATGAGATTTGCGTTAAACATTCAGTAACTTTTTGGGTCCATCCTTTTGATCTTTCCCTCTGCTTGGTTGGAAGCACGCATTCTGAAACGTCTACGTGCAATGCTGCGCTGGGAGGGGGCACCAGGTGGGGCCACAGCAGGGGCCGGAGAGAGCCTCACGCCTCGCCTCCCACCCCGCCGTGCTGTGCGTCCTGGGACCTGGTCCGGGCACTTGGGCTGGTGGGTGGGCCAGATTCCTGGGCGGTCAGCTGAGGGCCCTCCCCTGCGCCTCACGGGTGCTGTGGGGCGAGCAGGAGTCCTGTGTGCCTTATGGGGTGGGGGGGGGTTCCTTTGCAGTCAGGCCCCCCCCTGGGAAACGATGCATCATCACAGAGACCCCCACCCCACCCCCAAGGGACCCGGGCCTGCTCCCTCCGACCCAGTTTGCAAAAGCACCGCAGGCAAGCCGTGTGGACCCCGGCAAACGTGTGCGTCTCTGCTTCCCTCCCCAGCCATCGCCATGCTGAAGGACAAGGAGCCTGGCTCGTTCATTGTCAGGGACAGTCACTCCTTCCGAGGGGCCTACGGCCTGGCCATGAAGGTGGCCACTCCTCCCCCTTCCGTCCTGCAGCTCAACAAGAAAGGTAGGGACCCGGGAGCTGATTGGGAGCACTCACCCACCTACGGGGTCTGTGCAAACATGGCTTCGAGTTTCTTTGGAGTCTCTGTCTTTTTCCAGTGTGGTCCACTCAGGACTGTCCTTGTACAAGCAATATCGTTAATAATTTGTGAAGTTTATGTCTTTATTGCTTTGAATGAGTGATGAATTCCCTTGTTCAGCAGCCAGGAGGGTAGAAGCGGGCCTTGCTGAGGCACCCGGGCCCCCTTCTGCCCCAGGAACCATAATCAATTTCTGTGATTTCTCACCGACTGTCTCTCCAGCATCAGTACACAGGCACTTTCCTTTTTCCTCACGTGAAAGGCCGTGCCCTGCGCACACCATTCTCGCACCTGCGCTCCGGAGAGCACTTTGCTGGATGAAGAGTGACGCTGGGGTCAGCCTGGAGTCACAAGAGGAGCCCCGGGGGTGGGGGACCAAGCTGCCCTTGTCCCCAGTGCCCTCTGCCCGATGAACCATGCACAGCTGTGTTCAGATCTTCTACTTACTCTTCTGTGAACTTTCCATCTTGGACACAACCACATGCAGAGAAGGTTTCCATGGCTCCGTGCATGGTAAATGTTCCCATGAAGCAAACACGTCCGTGCCCGTAACCCAGGAGACAACCTTGGCAGGAGGCCCCTGCATGCCCCTCCTGCATGTCACACTCCGTCATCCCGCGATCTTTCGGGTATTCCAGCGACTCCTAGATTGGGCTCCGTGAGGCCCTTGGGGCTGGCCCCGTGTCCTTCCGATGCCCTACTGTCTGTCCTTTCCCTGCCCACCATTTCTCCAAGAATCCCCACTTCTGTGTGCTGGGAGGCGGTCTCTGGGAACCTAGACGTGTGAATGCTGGGTATGTTGGAGTGTCCGAGGGTGACTGCTTCTCTCTGGTGTCCAGAGCGAGGGACTGGATCACTCTAAAAGGTTGGTGAGTTGGCTCAGATAGCAGCTCCAGCGTGGAGTCACGGAGTCCATCACGGGGCCTTTCCCACCCTCCCCTGGTGACAAGGCCCGTCCCCAGCTGCACCTGCCCCTTCCTCCATGTCCTGACGGACACACACCCTTCAGATCACCCATCCTGCCGCTGCAGACAGGAGGCCTCCTAAGTAGAAGGTAGAGTTACAGCTTATTTGTATTAACCACTGAAATAGGAATCCCTGAACATCCTGGTCTTGCCTGTTTTCAACTTTATATCAGAAAACTAGTATGTATTCTTTTGTGAGTTGCTTTTGCTCCTGTTAAAAGATACATTGTTTCTACTTGTAACACCGCTCGTGCCTGTTACTCTCTGACAGCCTTCCAGGGAATGAATGCAGGCCCCACCTCGCAATAACGTGAATCACGATAATAACGTGAATCACGATAATATGTATCGCAATAACGCATATCACAACAATGTGATTCACAATAACGCGTATCGCAATAACACGTATTGCTATGATGAGCGTCAGATAAGCTTTGGGGCTTCTCAGTGCGCATAAAAGCTACGTTTACTCTGTACTGTGGTCCACTGAGCGTGCAACAACCCTATGTCTAAAAAAACAATGCACACACCTCGATGAAAAAATACTTTTGGTGAAAAGCTCACCGCCATCTGAGCGATATCACCTGTCGTAATCACGGATCACAGTAATCAGTGTAATAATAACGAAAAAGCTGGAAATACTGCAAGAAATACCAAAATGTGACACAGAGACACGAAGTGAGCAAATACCTTTGGAAAAATAGTGCCAGGAGCGTCACTTGACGCAGGGTAGGCACCAGTGGTCAGTTTGCACTTCACAACAGGAAGCGCAAGAAGGAAGCAGGCTCCTCGTGCGGGCGCCGGGCTCACTGGGAACGGGGGAATCTGGATAAGCAGATTCAGAGCTCACAGAGTTTAAGGAGCAAAATGACACTGGCCTGCTTCACTCCCGTGCCACGCCCAGGACTGGAGAGGCTTGACGGGAATCCCTGGGTGGAGGCTCTCCTCACGGCTCCCAGGAGGAAGTGACCTCGGAGCTGTGCCTGGAAGGACGTGAGATTTGGTGGCTGAAGCATCCAGCCGAGGGGCTTTCAGGGAACCTAGGTGTCTGCTGTGGGGTGAGCGGAAGGGGCAGGGTGCAGGGGACTCAGCACAGACCCCAAATCCGGATGGTGTTGTCTGGAAGCAAAGTGGAAGGAGGCTTCGTGCAGATCGAGTAGAATAGCTGAGCCTGGCTAGGAACCCGGCGTGAGAAGCTCCAGCAATCCTGAACGAGGATTGCTGTGGAGCGTGCGGGGTGGCTCTTGGCTCCATGGGAACTGCAAGCCAGCGTCTTTTCTGCATGCACTGTCGCTTTGGAAATGAAGACGGTGCTGTGTGCGTGTTCTCGTCTCCCGGCATGCCTCCACCTCTCAGGCCGACCTTGACTCAACCCTAAGGTGAAGGTCACAAAACGTCCCCGGCGTCCTCTGGCTGAAACCTTCACTGTCTGCCTGTCCTCGTCCAGCCCTGGATTTGGCAGTGGGGTGTCACGGTGCAAGGAGAGGTTTGAGAGGAAAGAGCCCAGCGAGTCAGCATCCCGCCTCTTGGTACCCGGAGCCCGGGCAGCGACAGATGTCCAGGACGGATCTGTTCTCTGGGCAGCCATCCGGCTGGCCGTCCCAGTGAGACACTTGTCCCCGGCGCGTGTGTCCCCTTCAGTGCGGAAGACGCGGATCCTTTTCCTCCCACAACTGAGGATGCACGATGCTCCTTTCCACACCTGTGTTCACCACAGCCTGCCGTGGAGTCTGGCCATCTCCCTCCCCACCGGCGGGTGCTGCTGTCGGCCGGTTTCCAGCTCAGTTTGGAGGTTTTCTGGACGTGCCTCGTCTTCGGATGCACAGGCTGGCGGGGGCAGCGATGTTCTGTCTGGTCCCAGTGACAGAGGGCTTCCTCCCCGGGGGTCTGTCACGTGGCTCCTGGCTCAGTCATACCCTCAAGGCTGGTCCCTTCTACCTCTTGTCAGTGGCTTGCTCTCGGGCATCACCTTGCATCCAGATCCTTCTAACCTCTCCTGTTACGAGGGTTAGGAGCTGGACACAGCAGCTGACTCATTCCCTGCACTGGGGATGCTTGCGGGATGCATGAGGGTCTCTTCTGGGACCGCTGCACCTCCGGGCATGTCACCATGGGGGCTCTGCTCTCCTTCCCAGGACACTGTTTGGCAGCCCAACGAGGCCAGCAGCCTGGCTCCGGGGCCCCCTCCCTTTAGCTGGTGCTCTGTCCCTCTCTCCCATCCTCCCGTGCTCTCGTTCTTAAATTCTCTTTTCTTTCTTTTCAATTTCTCACCACAGCGGGAGATCTGGCCAACGAACTCGTTCGGCACTTTTTGATCGAGTGTACCCCGAAGGGAGTGCGGTTGAAAGGGTGCCCCAACGAACCCTATTTCGGTAAGTGGCTGCGAGGTCACGGTCGATGTCCTGGCCCACACAGTGTGCAGCACCCTGCTGCCCCGAGCGACAGGGCCTCCCCACCCCCCGGGATCCCCAAGCCCTCCCCCCGCCGCCGGGCTCCCCAGGTCCCTCACCCAATTATCGTCTCCAAGATAAACTGGATAAGGAATTGTTCTGAAGGCTTTCTCAAAACCAAACAGATGGCAAGCAGGTAGCACCCTGGCAGGCAGGCCCGTGAGCATGGACCGGGTTAGAGCTGGAACCCGGGCCCTTCCTTCCCAACCTCGCAGGCTTGTTGGGACGACACCCAGACACATGGTCCTAGCCTCCAGGAGCACCTTGCAAGGACCACGGAGGCACCTGGGCTGTCTCAGATCAGCCGACAGCTGACTTCCTCTTTACAAATTGGTGCCTGTGTGTCTTGGGCCAGAATCACCTGCAGCTCCTCTCCCTAGCTCTTAGCTCTCTTGCTGGACTGGTCACTTCACTGAAGTTTTGCGCCAAGTCCCACAATAATGGAGCGTGTTAGTTGCTACAAATATAAGTGCTTGCCCTCCACAGCAGCTTCATTCCCGCAGTGCTGTGTTTAGGGCGGCATTAACGCCCCTCTGCTGTTCATCCGTTTGCAGGGAGCCTGACGGCTTTGGTGTGTCAGCATTCCATCACGCCCTTGGCTTTGCCCTGCAAGCTGCTCATTCCAGACAGAGGTACGTGGTCGGGTGTTCCGTGCTGTTCCTTCTGGCCGCGTGCATGTCGGGTCCGTGAGGATCCACCAACAGAAGTCAGACCGGAACCTTCCTCTGTCCTGGGCCCTGTGGGTAAACCCCAAAGAGTGTCGTGTAGCCCACCCAAGTGGGCTGACAAGAGGCAGCCCCCAGCGACGCCGTCACCTTATGGGGTTTGTGAATGGCTTCCCTGGATAGAAAGCACCTGCATCAAGAGAACTTCAAGGCCACACCTGCATTAATTTGTACAATTCTACAAAATCAGCAAGATATTGGTATTTTTGAGCTTAGGTGACAAACTGTTCTCTTTGCCTTTATGGCTGTTTGAAAAAATATCTAATTAGGCACCCATTGCATAACAGCGTGATTTGGCCATATTTCTCAGCTTCCTAGGCAGTATTAATTTCACATAATTTTATTAGATTCCATAGTGATTAATTTATAATATAGGTAAGTGTGATTTACCTTTTGCAATTCATTGTTCATGAGAGCTGAGAAAGACATGTTGCCGGACCGTGTCGCACCCCCGCCTGCTCAGAACGCGGTGCTGGGGTCCGCGGGCCAGGGGTTGTCACCAGGAGACAACACAGGTCACCCCCTGGGAATCCAGGCCCGAGTCTGACCGTGTCGTGAAGACTCTTCTCTGGTGAGCCGGACTCATTTCTGCGTTTTCTTGCTCCGTCCCGCAGATCCGTTGGAGGAGATAGCCGACAGCTCTCCCCAGACGGCGGCCAACTCGGCCGCAGAGCTGCTGAAGCAAGGGGCAGGTCAGTCTCTGGCTTCATGTGCCCCGTCCTAGTTCCTGGGCGGAAGGGGGTCACCTTGGGTCTGCGGGTTTCCTCCTGCTGTGTGTGTGTGAAGGAGCTCCCTCTCTGGGAGCACCCCCAGGCCTGGTTGGGCAGTGAGTGTGGGTGGACAGAACCAGGACTCCCCGGGCCGGAAATGTCCCCACTGCAAACAAGACCAGAGACCGCGGGAGAAAGCCAAATCCTGGGTTTCGTCTGGGGAGAAGGCAGGGAGCTGGGATGTGGGGGGCCGGCCCCCCCAGCCATGAGTGTAAAAGCGCTCATGGGCCTGACTCAGCAAGCCAATGGTTTTGCCCTCGCTGCCCGCAACCCAGGGTGACGCAGACCCCCAGATAGTGCGCTTGCCAGGGCACCTGTTTTTTAAATTAATAGACTTTATACATTTTTTAGAGCAGTTGTAGGTTCACAGGAACATTAAGAGGAAGGTACAGAGGTTTCCCCCACACCCCTGCCCCGTGCATGTGCGACGTTCCCCATTACAGCGTTCCCCCAGAAGGTACATTTGTTCCCATCTGTGAAACTACGTCATTATCACCCAGAGTCCAGAGTCTCCACTGGGGCTTACACTCGGTGGTGTTCGTTCTGTGGTTTTGGACAAATGCATAATGCTGTGTATCCACCACCAGAGTATCACTCAGAGTGCTTTCATCATCCTAAAAATCCTCTGTGCTCCACCTGCTCACCCCCGCCCTCCAGACCCTGGCAACGTTGACCCCTTCCTTGTCTCCATGGTTTTGCCCTTTCTAGAATGTCTTAGAGTTGGAATCATTACAGTTGGTAGCCTTTTCAGACGGACTTTGTGCCTTAGTGATAGAAGTTTCCTTCATGTCCTTTCATGGCTTGGTGCCGAATGATCTTACATTGTCTGGACGGACCACAGTGTACTTGTCCATTCCCCCACTGAAGGGCATCCTGCTGGCTTCCAACTTTTGGCAGTTATGAATAAAGCTGCTGTAACATCCGTGTGCGGGTTTCTGTGTGGACGTGAGTTTTCAGCTCCTTTGTGTAAATAAAAAGGAGCATGATTGCTGGATCGTATATTAAGAGTATGTTTAGTTTTGTGGGTTTTTTAGATTTTATTTGAGAGAGAGGGAGCATGCATGCGCATGAGTGTGGGGAGGGGCAGAGGGAGAAGCAGACTCTGCTGAGCACGGAGCCTGACACAGGGCTCGATCCCAGGATGCTGAGATCATGACCTGAGCTGAAGACAGATGCTTAACCGACTGAGCCACCCAGGTGCCCCTGGTATGTTTAGTTTTGCAAGAAAGCAGCATTGTCTTGCAAAAGAGCTACACCATTTTGCATTCCCACCAGCTGTGGATGGGAGCTCCTTTTCCTCCACATCTTTACCAGCATTTGGTGTCATCAGGGTTCTGGATTTTGGCCGTTCTAATAGGTGTGCATTGGTATCCCATCAGTGTTTTAATTTGCATTTCCCTGATGATACGTGACATGGGTCACCTCTTCATCATTGCCGCCTGTACGCCTTCTTTGGTGAGATGTCTGTTAAGGTATTTGGCCCGTTTTTTAGTTGGGTGGTTTTCCTATTGTTGAACTTTAAGAGTTCTTTGTGTATTTTGGAGACCAGTCCTTTATCAGACGTGTTTTTTGCAAATATTTTCTCCCAATCTGTGGCTCGTCTTCTCATTTTTTTGACATTGTTTCTCACAGAGAGGAAATTTTTAATTTTAATGACATCCCGTTTATCATTTCTTTTTTTTTTAAAGATTTTATTTATTTGAGAGAGAATGAGAGATCGCACGAGAGGGAAAGGGTCAGAGGGAGAAGCAGACTCCCCGCTGAGCAGGGGGCCCGATGTGGGACTCGATCCCAGGACTCCAGGATCATGACCTGAGCCGAAGGCAGTCGCTTAACCGAGCCACCCAGGCGCCCTTGTTTTTCATTTCTTTCTTTCATGGGGTCGCCTGTTGTGTTGTCTTTGAAAAGTTTGTCACCAGACCCAAGATGATCTGGGTTTTCTCCTATGTGATCTGGAAGTTTCATACTTTTACATTTTACATTCAGGTCTGCGGCCCACTGTGTCAGGGTTTGGGAGGGGTTTGAGGTCTGTGTTACAGTCTCTGTTTTGCACGTGGGCGTCCAGCTGTCCCAGCCCCTCTGTGGAAGACAGGATCTCCTCTCCATTGTGTTGTCTTCACTCCTCTATCAAAGATCAGCTGACTTTATTGATGTGGGTCTATTTCTGGGCTCCCAGTTGTTTTCTGTTGATCTATTCATCTGTTCTTTTACCAATAATGCAGTCTCGACTACTAGCTTTCCAGTAAATCTTGAAGTCAGGTAGTGTCAGTCCTCCAACTCTGTGCTTCTCCCTCAGTCTCCCTCATTTCTTGTTCAGTCTGTGCTATTCTTGGTCTTTTGCTTCCATATAAATTCTAGAATCAGTTGGTCAATATCCACAAAATAACTTGCTGGGATTTTTATTGGAATCGTATAGTGTCTATAGATCAGGTTGAGAAGAACCGACATCTTGACAAAGTTGAGTCTTCCTATCCATGAACATGGTATCTCTCTCCATTTATTCAGCTATCTTATATTTTTCGTCAAAGTTTTATAGTTCTCCTTGTAAGTATTTCTTGTACATAATTGTATTAGATTGATACCTAGGTATTTCACTTTGGGGGCTGCCAATGTACATTGTATTGTGCTTTTAATCCCAAACTGTGATTGTCCTGTGCTGATGGACAGGAAAGGGATTGACTTGTATATTAATCTTGTTTTCTGCATCGTGCTATAAATACAGCCCCACTACTTGCTGTTGCAGCATGCGATGCAGCCCTTGTGGTCCCAGAATAAGAGGGCTGTGGACAAGACCGAGGCCACGGGGCTCCTGTGGGTCTGCAGCCATGAGGGAACCGAGTCCCCCATGGTGGACGTTTGCTCTTGGAAAAGTTGGGGAAGGGAATTTCAGAGACTGGTTGGAGGCCTGGACAAGAAATACCTCCTTTCTGCACCTCATACTGGTAGTGTACTTCACAGCTGTGGCTCCGTGTTGGAGGTCAGTGCAATCTACAGCTCTTTTCTTGTTACTTCCTCTGTGCATTGTGCATGGTTCTTCTGTGCAACTTTTCTCTGTGGAACTCCCCGTCACTATGCCTGTTGCCCAGCTAAAGTTCATCTCTCTGGTTTCACAACGATGAGTGTTGAACTCTTTTCAGTTCAGACCTCCTTGAGGGATACATTCTGTGTGTCCAAAATGAAGCTGACGTGGTTTGCCCCAAACAGCAACATGTTAGAACGTGAAGCTCCAAAATGAGGAGCGTGGCTGTGTCAGTCCTGGGTTCAAGTCCAGGCTCTGCCACTCAGGGTTTTGACCTCTGGCAGCACACTCAGCCACGTGGATCTCGGCGTATCGATGGTAATGATCTCTCCCCACAGCGTGGCTGCAAAGACCAAGTGAATCAGATGTTGAAAACCGCCTTGGGAACCATAACGTGGTCACTCACATAGGTTGTGGTGATATTAGTCCTGCTGTGTTTGCACGGGAAAATGCTCTTCCTGGCCCAGGAAAAATGGCCTTTCCTGTGGCGGGGGCCTCACCCTTTCCCTGCCCGGGCCTCAGCTGGGCACCTCCATAGTATCTCCAGGGTGCAGCCCTGTGCTCAGCCTGGGGTTACAAGGCAGCCCACATGCCTCTAGGCTCTGTACTTAGCTTAATATCATCTTATGACAAGCTGCCTGTTGTTTCTCCTTAAGCTTCATGATTATCATTTTCCCCAATAAATGTCCAATTAATAAATAGATCAATGAATTCACTAATCATAATTAGGAACCATAATGTCCCTTATTTTTAGATACTACGGTCTTTCCTTCTATTCTGGCTTATCATTATTAGATACACTTGATAATCTTGTTGAAGAACATATGGCAGGTATCAGTAATGCTGGAGGACTTGATTTTTTGAAGGGTGGCAGTTCCCAGGACTTGAGGCGGGCCCTGGGGATCTCATGTGAGCATCTGAGCTGAGCATTTACACACGACAGGGTGGAGCCTCATGTTTCTAAAACACATCAAGGGGGTTAAATGTCCATGTAGCTCACTTCATGGGTGACAAGGCAAGGCGTGGAATCGGGACACGGATCCGTGGCTGGAGTGAGAACAAAGTAGCAGTGAGCTTGCAGAGGCCCCGTGGTTTTTGGAAAAAGTGCAGGAAGGTGGTCAGAGTGTCCCATTGGTGATCACCTCAAGGAAACTGATTTTTTCCCCCAAATTAAATTTTGTGAGTGTTCTCATTCACCCCGGGACTTGAATTGTCCCATGTGGAGTTCCCTCCCCATAAAGTTGAGGAAGCAGCACCCGGGAGCGTTAGCAGAGGCGGGTGTCCCCAGTGAGGGTGCACGGTCCCTCGTCTGCTTCTCCTTCTCTCGTGTGACTGAGGCCCTTCTGGGTCGTTCCAGTTTCTGACTGTTGGCGTTTTTGGTTTCTTCCTTGGTGGTGTTGAAGCTGCGGAATGCAGTCCATCCTAAGAAGAAGGACCAGAGCTCTGGTACATTTTCCAGCAGTGTTAGGCTGTGTCCTTAACTTACCATATTGTTAAATGTATTTTCTTTATAAGAGTAGTAGGAGTTTTTTAAGTTAAAAAAAAAAAAAAAGGATAGGGGCGCCTGGGTGGCTCAGTGGTTTAAGCACCTGCCTTTGGCTCAATTCATGATCTCAGGGTCCTGGGATCGAGCCCCGCATCAGGCTCCCTGTTCAGCGGGGAGTCTGCTTCTCCCTCTCCCTTCCCCTCTGAACCATCCCCCTGCTCATGCTCGCCCTCTCTGACAAATAAATAAATAAAATCTTTATTAAAAAAGGGAAGAGACATGGAAGAGAGAGGGAAGGTGAACTGCTCAGAGGCCTGTTTCCCAGACCGCCCTGGATGTTTTTCCTTTTCTTGCTTCAAGTAAGAAGTTCACCCATTTTTGTTGCACACCACATAGGTCTCGTTTTCAGTGGCTGTGAAATGGTCCGTCTTGTGATCAGCTCCTTATGGTTGCTCTGCTCGTTTGGCTTGTTTTTGGCTTCTCAGTAATACAAATAACGCTTGGGAGGCTACCCTTCTGCTTTATGTCTTTTTTCGGAATCTTGCATTGCTCTCTTAGGACCCAAGTTCCTGGACACAGTAGGGCTGGGTGAGGCCATGTGTTCCTGAAGCTTTGTACCCCGTGGGTTTGATGGGCATGGCCCCATTCACAGGAGGCAGCCCTGTTCCACAAGTCGGCTCCTCCCCCCCTGCACCGGGACCACGTGTCAGGTAGAATTGGATGACGGGGGCCAGACTGGGTGGACAAATACCAGTCACCCTGCAGATCCTCCCTCTGCTGGAGAGCAGGGCTCCGGGATGGACCTGTGTGCTCAGCCGACCTGCCCCCAGATGTGCTTTATCAAGTGACAGCTTCCCTCTTCTGCTTTGAGGAATGACCCCATGGCTCTGCCTTCAGGGGCGAGATTCCCCAAACCCCGACTCCTTATCAAAAGGCCATTTGTGGTGCCACAAGGGAGATGGGGTCCGGGTTGGTGGCCGCCTGTCCTGGCACAGACCCAGGCTGTGCCCGTTTTGTGGGATTTCACTGTCGTTAGATCAGAATTCCTTGTCTTCTTGTTTTTGGAAATGCATCACAGTAACGCTAATGAAATCAAAGGCAGACTATCCACCCTCCGAAAATCACGCGGTCTTAAAGTTTCCAGGCACCCATCCATCTCCTGCTCGTACACACGCACTTTTTCTTTTATACTTGTGATCATAGCACAAATATGGTTTTTATTCTGCTTTCCCATCAACTTCTAATGTTTTTGTGGGTTTAAGAAATAGTTGACGTACCATCCCTGTGTAGGCCTACGGCGCATGATGAGAGGGTTTGATTATCTAAGTCGTGAGGTGGTCACCCCTGGAGGCTCAGCTCACGTCCGTCTTCTTGTGTAGATACAGTATGAAGAGGAAAAGAGAGGAAGGTTCCCCTTGTGCTGAGAAATCCTAGGACCCACTCTCTTCATGACTTTCCCGTGAGCTACCCAGGAGCGTCGGCCGTGGCCACCTGTCTTCTTGTTGCTGTACACGTGGCATGGCTGCCACTTGATGGTTGCTTGGTTTTCCGTGTGGGGTTCATTGAGCCATTCCCCGTTTCCCTGCTAAGTCAGCATGTGGCTCCCAGAGCCCCACCTCTGGGCTGGTCGTCTGCCATGGTTATGGAAGATTTCCCTTCTGAGCCTCCTGATAAAGATGAGCGTGTTGTCCAGAAGGGCCGTCCGGGTTGACCCAGCGTTTCATCAGAGCGTGGCAGGCATAGGGTGCTTGGCAGCTACATTGTAATGTGCCGACATGCGCTCTGTCCCAAGGGACACACGTAAACCCCTCAAATCCAGGTGGCAGCTGGAGTGTAGGTCACCGCCAGCCCTGCCGCTCCCCTCGGGTCCGTGCCAGCCAGCCGCAGGAAGCGGGTGCGTCTCCGACTCCCGCCCACCCCCGAGCATCCCTCTGGGTGAGCACGTGCAGGTGCGACCTTCTGAAGGTGCGTCTGCTCTCAGGACAGGCACATGGTGTTGTCAGGGGGCATTATCTGTGGCCAGGGTCGCTCACACACAGCCTACGTGCTTCACTGTAAAATCCACAGCGCACCCTTGGGAACATTAGATGCTTCTCACCGAGCGTGCCCGGTACCCGGTAGTTTCTCTGTGGACATTGCAGCAGCAGTATGGAGATGGGGTGTCATGGCATGGTGGCGTGGATGCCCAGGGGCTGGCTGCGAGGCTCCTGGACCACTTCTTGGGGTCTCCAGGCCACTGTGTCCTCCTCCGCCACGGGGCAGGTGCAGATGGGCTGAAACAGTCTCTGGAAGGTGTCTGCCAGGGCCTGACACACAGGGATTGTCCTCAGAGTGAGCAGCCTTAGCAGAGCTCAGAGACACGGAAACGGTTGTATTCGGGGTGGAGAGTTCTCTTTAGATGCTGCCTTGCAGCACAGTGCATTTCCAGGCAGTACAGGGGTGCGTTCTCCAGCTGCTTCTGGTGAGAGCAAGGGAGTGGTTCAGGGAACTTCGTAGGGGAAGCTGGGGTCTCGGAGGAAACTCCCAGCTGCTCGTGAGTTTGGGGGCTGTGTCCTCTAGAGGAAGTGGGGTAGCTCCCTGCAGTGAGCGTGGCAGGCTCCGTGCAGTGCACGCTCTCACCAAAGACCCCATCCACCGGCCTCAGGCTGCGTCGTTCCAGGGAGGCTTTCTGGAATCTGCTCCTTCCCTTCATTCTGGGCCTTTCCCGTTGGGTCTCTTCAGTGGCCCCAATAATGATTCGATTCCAGTGGCTTTTCCCCGCAACGTCGGTGAGACCCCAGCCAACATGCTTGTCATGCTCAGCAACCTAGGATCAAGGGCGAAGCTTTGTTTTCCGATGAACTTGGTGCAGACCTGGGGCTTACTCACGGAAGCAGGGGCTTCTGAGACCCCAGAGCTTCCCAGGCTTTGAAGATGAGCTGTGAATTGCAGCATTTGCCTGGAGGCCATGGATGGCTAGTCGCTCGCGGACCGCGACACTCACATGGAGCCTGACATCTGGCAGGGCAGGGGCACGGGCGGCTCTCTTCTTGGGGGTGGTGGGGGCTGGGAGGGACACGTTCTTGGTAGCTGGCCAGGCGGGGCCGTGGCTCCTGCCAGGAGCAAGCGGTAGGCAGAGTCTGAGTGTCTCGGGGCACACCGACTTCACACGCGCCCCAAAGTCCCACGTCAGCTTCTGCGTGAGCTGCAGGGATCCAGCTTCAGAGGGCCATCGGTCTGTTTACCAAGCCCTGTTCACACGCGACAGTTTGCTCCCTGCCCCCCCCCCCCCGAGAAGCGCCCAGCCCCGTGGCAGGGCGGGGACGTGACCCAGACAGGACGGGCCGACCCGCGCCTTTGTCACGCGGCCTCTGCCTAGAGTCACATGCCTCATGCATCGTCCCCGCTGCTCTGGGCACCGTCACTTCCAGCGCCTTTGGGGTTCTGGCTTCCCTCTCACACGTTTACTGACCTGCGGTGGTGCCGCGGACCCACACCCGCACCGAGGCTGGGGAAGGGTCTCTGGCCCCACTGGGGACACGGCGGCAGGGGCAGCGGGAGGCTTCTGGGGCGGGGCCTCGGGGCACGTGTGTCCCTGGTTCCTCCCCATCCACGCCTGTGGAATGGGGGGCTGAGGGCTTTGCCTCCAGTGAACACCCTGCTTCCCTGGGTGTCTTGCAGCCTGCAATGTGTGGTACCTGAACTCCGTGGAGATGGAGTCACTCACAGGCCACCAGGCCGTCCAGAAGGCCCTGAGCCTCACCCTCGTGCAGGAGCCGCCTCCCCTGTGCACGGTCGTGCACTTCAAGGTGTCAGCCCAGGGCATCACCCTGACGGACAACCAGAGGAAGTGAGTGTGCCTGGGCGCCGGGCTGTGGGCGGGCCTTCTGGGCGCACTCGGGGTCAGACCTCCTGCCAGCCTGCGTGTCCCCGGGACGTGGCTCTGGACGCATCACTCCTCGGCGCGTCCCTGTCCTTCAGGACCTCCCAGGAGCTGCGTGTAAACCGTGGACATTCGGCACAGACGTTTTCTTCGTAGGAGCCAGGAAACTTTTAAAGAAAAAAAGAGAGAGAGAGATTTGGACCTTTGAGTGTCACACGCACACACGAGTTTAATTTTTAAACACAAAAATCTTTTAACTCGATTCTGTCAAAACACTGGGAGACTGTGATGGAACCCATCTTTGGTTCGATGTCATTACATCTGACTGGTGGTCGTCCCATTTCAGGTGACACTGTGAGCTTGCTAGATGTTAGTTCAGTATCTAGATAATTAATTGTAATGCAGCCATTAGTTATATATTAAGAACAACTAATATTAGTTATTCATGACCATCTACTGTATAATACGTTACAATACTAAATGTTATCTAGATGGTGTTTGAATGTGTAGATGCTAGATGATATTTCGGTGGCTTTCAGCAGAGCTGTCCCTGAGTGGGTTCTACCTAGCAGGTGTCCCGGGAACATAGTAGGGCCACAGCCCGAACGGGGAACAGAGTCAGATGCACAGATAGCGGCGTGCTGCCCCCCTGCCCCCCATCCCCCCCGCGGAGCCCCTGACCTCAGAATCAAAGACATTTCTGATGCACTTGTTGTTCATTTGATTTGGAAACAGCCCGGTGTGGTTAATAAGAGAGCCGGGTCATCAGCCATAAAAGCAGGGGGATGGCAGGAGCATCACGGGGCACAAGGCCAGTTGTTTGGCGCCGGCCGGTGAGGCAGCCCTGACCCGCCCTTTGCGCCCACCCCACAGCTAGTCTGTACGTTCGCAGTGTGCCGTCAGCTCCTTCCTCATGTCTGATGTGGGCTCCGGTCCCTGAGAGTGGCCGGCCTTACTGGACACCGTGTCCCCAGTGAGGAGAGTTTGGCTGGAGATGGTCGGTGGCTGGACATGGTCGGCAGTTCTTGGGCCGAGCACAGGAAGGCCGGGCTCACTGGCTCACCTCCGGGGCCGTGCCAGGGCTCCGGGGTTCGGTCCTGACCTCCGCGTGGCTGGCAGGTGCACGATGTTACTCTGCTGCATGCTTCCCTCTTGCCAAGAGCCAGCATTTCCAACACTGCTCAGCCCCGCATCCATCTGCCTGTTTCTGACGGGCATACGCATGGTTCTTCTCTCCAAGTGACTAGTAATCCAGTCGGCTTCCGCCTGACTCTCCTTCTGGGGGAGCCCGTGCTGTGCGTCCCTGTCACCCTCACGCCCACTAACAGAGCCGTGTCCCCTCCACCCCGTGTCCCGACAGGCTCTTCTTCCGGAGGCACTACCCCGTGAGCAGCGTGATTTTCTGCGCGTTGGATCCACAGGACAGGAAGTAAGACATCTGTATTTGTATCAAGCAATGCGTGTGCCTCCTTTGCCTGTTAAATTAATAAAGAAGTGAACATAACTCTTCCCTTTCTTTTTAATCTGCAAGGTGGATCACGGATGGCCCCTGCTCGAGGTAGGTTCCCAGGACGCCAGTGCCCTTCCTGTCACGGTCCAAAGTGCATCTTTGTACAGATTTCCAAAGAGGGTATCCTGTAGGGGAAATGAGGGAACCATGCCAATGGGTTCATGCCATAAACACAAACGAAAGTGTGTCCTTCTGCAGGAAGGGCCTCCCGGGGTTCACTTTCCTGCTTGCTCTTTCCTGGAGGCACGGTACTTACCCCAGACCCGTATGTGGCGCAAATAGTGTGGAGGCGAATGCACGGCTTTTCGGGCTGTTCAGGGCAGGCGTGGACTGCAGGTGCATCGAGGTCAGGGTGGAGGAAGGACTTCCCCTGTGTGGCTGTGAATGACACAGTGTTCAGCGTTTCCCAGATGCAGGGGGAGCACGGTTTCTGCCTGCCCTGGCTCCACGGCAGGCCAGTCCCGCCAGGCAGGGGCGCTCCCAGAACCTTCCAGAGCTGTCGGCGCTCCCCAGCCCAGTTTCCTCCATGTACCCTAAATCTGATTGCCAGGAAGAGGTCAGACCGCAAGAATCCGCTTGTAGCGTCCCTGGTTCACATTCCTGTTCGTCTCGGGATCTGATAAAGCGCCCAGAGGCCTCATGCTCTGGCACGCGGGGCTGACGGCGCTCACGGCCATGTGGAATGTGCCACCCCATCGGGGTTCCTTGAGCCAGTCCCTCTCATGGCTGGGAAACCACTCCCCTGGAACAAAAGAATCCATTTTTTTTAAGAAGGAGCAGAAAGAGTTTCCTGGAGACAACGGAAGTCCCCGCGTGAGGTTCAGGGCTCACGAAAGCCCATTCGGAGAACAGCTCCAATTCTTCTAATAGTTCCTTACTTGCCCATGGTTGGTAACTGGGGTGTGGGAGGCCCGAGAGAAGAGCTTCTGGCCCCCAAGGGTGGGAGGGTGGCCACATGCGGCCCTCACCTGTGCCCCCACGTGCTCTGATTGCCCCACCCTGGTGCCTGGGGAGCCCGGCCTCCCCTGGGAGAGTCAGGCCACCGGCCGGGTGGGGGCTCAGGGACCTGCCCTGACCCGTGTCTGCAGGATTCCGGCTAGGAGTGGCCCGGGGCGGTGGCTGGCCGTGCACCTGCTGTACCTGTGAGGTTTGGGAGGTGGACAGATGTGGGCAGGTGTCTGGCTGGGTGGTGGTGAGTGGCGGGTGGAGGTTGTGGTGGTGCAGGGAGGGAGTGGACAGAGGTTTGCACCCACGCTTGGGCCTTGCAGGATGCTGGCGCTCTGACCTCACCCCCTTTCCTGTTGCAGAGTCTTCGGGTTTGTGGCCCGGAAACAGGGCAGCGCCACGGACAACGTGTGCCACTTATTCGCGGAGCATGACCCAGAGCAGCCTGCCAGTGCCATCGTCAACTTCGTGTCAAAGGTCATGATCGGCTCCCCTAAGAAGATCTGAGCCCCTCCCAGCCAGAGACCCGAGCGGGGCTGGAGCGTCCCCCGCGTAGCAACTGGCCAGCCTGACGTTCCAGCCCCAGGAGGGCAAGGGGCTCCTTCTCCGGCTTCATGGACACAAGGACAGATGGCACCCCCCAGTCTGCTGTCCTTTCCTGAAAGACTGCTCACCAACACGTCTTTGTAGCCAAGCGCTTCCCGGGTGGAGGAAATTGGGCTCCACGCTGGCAGGGGCCGTGCAAGGACACAGGCCCCCATGTTCCTTGCACTCCGGCATTTGTGGGAAGGAGGGCACCTGGCCCCTGCACAGTGGCTCCTGGGTGACTGGCGACGCCATCAGCCACGCGGAGGGCCCCCGTCCCCCCAGCACCTGGGAGGAGGCCCCTCTCCTCCACGACAGAGACGCTAGCTCACCGAGAAGGGGATGCATGTTTGCTGGGGGTTCGTGCAGGTCAGGCCCTCCCGGAACTCTGGGGGCACGAGCGAGGGGGTGACGTGATGGCTGTGAGGACCGGGAAGGCCGCCTGGTCCCTGGGGAGGGGCACCGTGAGCCCCAGCCGGGCGGGCAGGTGGCAGCTCCAGGCTTCCGCTCTCACTCCGGCTCCGAACGGCGTGGTGCCTGTGAGAGCAGAGGGAACATGGACGTGAAATGTCTTTTCATATAATTTATATTCTACTTATGCCAAATTATTTATGATAAATTGCTGGGCAGGACGGGGTCCCACTGCTGCGGGCTGCCAAGCTGAACCCGTGCCCACGATCGAGGGCCACGTCCCCGACAGGCGGGCCACAGCAGCCCTGACCACCCCAGTACCACCCCAGTACTACCCCAGTCCTTGCCATGGACAGTTCGGGTCCAGGCGGCGGCGGGTGATGTCCTTCCTGGGGAGGAAGTTTCTGGAGAGTGGGTCACCTTTGGGTGGAGACGCGGCCCTGCTCTCCACGGCTGTTCTCGGCCCTCTGTGAGCCCTTGGCCACTTGTCCCCCGCTCTGCGGCCCCCGCTGGGATCCTGTGTTTCTGGCCTCCTGAGCAGAGGAGGAAGGGGAGGAAGATGATGAATCTCAGTCCTTCAAAACTGTTCTTGAGCGGAGGGCCGCTCCTCTGCATCTCCTGGGCGACCGAATTGGGTGCTGGTCACGCCAAGGCTCCCGTGTGTCCCCCAGGGCGGGAGTTGGGGCTGACAACGGGGGACGGGAGGCTCAGTCTCCTCCCGCACAGCCGGGGTGCCCCGCGCCTCTGGGGCTCCGGAGAGCTGCCCACTCTGCCTGACTTTCCAAAATCAAGACCAGCTCTTCGGTGCCCCCACGAGTCGCCGGTGGGCACCACACCAGGGGTGGAAACGCGGCTGTGAGTCCTCTGTGTTAAGCGGATCAGAGACGGACCTGCCGACTGGTAGAGCTGGAAGCGAGTCGCAGGGGGGTGTCGTACGTGTGTGAAAGCAGGTGGATGGGTCCACTGTAGCTCCTATCGATGCACCAAACATAAGTGCCTCATTTCTGTGCCAAATGTTTGCCTTGGTCTTCGCGGACCTTCTTGCCCAATAGGTGTTGGTGTGGCTGTGCGGGAATGTACCGGCATCTGCCGGGGGCCAAGGGGTCCTGGTCCTCGGCAGAGGCGCCTGGCATCTTGGGATTCCATTTGTGGCAGAAATTTGGCCAAGGGGACCCGAGGTGCCGTCCCCAAGGGGCGCCTCATCCCGAGGTGGCTTCTACCCATTTTGACCTAAAGACCGCAGGTCGGGTCCCTCATCCTTCCGACCAAGGACGAGAGGGCTCATTTAGAAACCAGAGCGCGGGCGGGGGTGAGTCCAGAAGCACAAACTGGTGGATGACACGGGCATCGGGGCCTCCTGTGCAGTCCTTGTCCAGAGCATTCAAGAAGCCGCACTCCCTGGCCTGTGAGACGGACCGGCTGGCTGTGGCTTTTCCTCGCAGTGGCCAGGGCGTCAGGAAGTTTGCTCCCTCTGCGGAGCTGAGGGAAGCCGATTCCCCAGTTCCTGATGAGCTGGTAGACGGGTTTCTTCCTGTGTTACACGTGCATCACACAGAACGAGAGGAATCCACGAACTGGGGGCTCAGACCGTGGCGAGCCGCACCCCCACCCCCACACAGGCTCGGGGACACTCCGCGCGATCCCTGGCACGGGGAGGTCGAGGGTCCCCACCGCGTCACAGCCAGGGTCCTATTAACCTGCTCATTAACCGGATGCTGTATTCCTCCAGTGTTAACCTATACCCGTGGCAAGTCACACCGAATTTAAGGGTCTCCGTGTGTATCCTCGGTGTCAAAGACCTCATGTCTCCTTAGCTGCCTTGCTTATTAGTGGGTATTTTTACTTTTCTTATATTGTAAAGAATATATCCAGTATGTAAATGAATGTTCTATAAACCCTTTGTATAGTCGTTTTCTCTGCTTTTCAGATATTCTCTCTATTCAGAGTATAATAAAATTATACACGTGGGAAAGCCTCGGTGAGGCCGACATGTGTTGTGTTGGATGGAAGCGCCCAGAGGGTTTGTGCGTCTGTGTGCCTGTGTGCGCGCTTGGGTCACGCACGTGTTTCACTGGGAGTTTGAAGTGGATTTTTTATGGAGCGTTGGATTTGGTTATAAATTCACATATGTTTGGCCTTTAGGAATGAATATATTTTAAGATTTCTGCCCAGAGACCTTTGAAAAATTATAATCAGAGAGAATAAGAATTTAATTGCATTGTGTGCTGTTCCTCCTAGGACCTGGTTTGTTTTGATGTTCAGCCCCCGAGGGGAACTTCCTGTCGTCTACCGCGTTGGGGCTGAACCCGAATATGAAGTTTTGTGGGTTCACCTGCTGCTTCAAGGGAGGCAGGTGTCGCCCGGCGCCACCCTCTGGCGGGGGGCCTCCCCAGCCAGGTGGGGGCCCATCGTGCTGGCTTTTTGCCTTCCTGGGGCTGGCCTCCCTTTGCCTGGCTGATTTCCTTCCCGAGTTAGGTGATGGGAACACAGGACCCGTGGCCCTCATGCACTGTGTCCTAAAGCCCTGAGCAGCTCTGTCACGGGGCGCCCAGTGGGTGGACGGTCACTGGGCTCAGCAGGCTCTGCCTTCCCCACTGCAGGCTGGGGGTCACAGTGCTCATAAGGCTAAGGGCTGGGGCATGACCGTGCCCGTGGTTGAAACGCTGGGACCGCTCTGGCCCCAGCCAAGAGCATAAGGCCGAGGAGGCACACTTGGGAGAGTCTCATCCAACAGGACGTTTCCGGGGGTGGCAGGGCTGGACCCCTGACCGGTGTCACAGAGGGAGTAAAGGTGGGCAGGGCACAGATCCCCCTGTGGCCACTAGTGTGGGCTTTCCAGAAACACAGTTTGGATGTGTCACAGTGGATTGGCCCAGAGGATTCTTGGAGTACCGGCCACCACCAGGCCTTGCCTGGACGGGAGCTTGTCATGTGTGCATTAACTGCCTGCTCATCACTCAGCGGCTACTACTGATGGATGTCCTGGTGTTGGGCACCCGGGCCCCATCTACTGGGGACCCAGATCTATTGGAGATGGGCACCTGGGTCCACCCTCTTGGGCCCTGGATCTATTAGCGGTGGGCCCTCCGCCTGCCCACTGGGGACCCTAGATCTCTTGGTGATGAGCGCCCGGGTCTGTCCACTGGGGTCTCTGGATCTTTTGGTGATGAGCGCCTGGGTCCGTCCACGGGGACCCAGGATCTATTAACGATGGGTGCCCGGGCCCGGCCCCCTTGGGCTGTGGACCTTTGGGAGAAGGGTATCTGAATCCCACCAACTCAGGGATCGAGATCTATTAGTGATGGGCATCAGGGTCCCACCCCCCTCCGGCCGTGGATCTTCTGGAGAAGGGTACCCAGGCCCTGCCCTCTCGGGACCCCGACCTGTGGATCTGTTAGTGATGGGCGCCCAGGTCCTGCCCACTGGGGACCCAGGATCTACTGAAGATGAGCGCCCGGGTCTGTCCACTGAGGACCCTGGGTCTATTGACAATTTGTGTCCTGGTCCCGCCCACTGGGGACCTCATGTCCTATCCTCCATCGTGGTTCCTTGTTTCCCTAGAGTTACGTGTGTGGTCACCAGGATCGTGGTCTCGATCACAGGGCCTCGAGTCACATTTCACAGAGCAGACTCAAAGTGGAATCGGAGTTCGCAGGTGGACTTGGGGCCCCGGGGAACATCAGAGGCTGGAGCTTAGAGCGAGGAGAACCAAAAAACACGACCCAACCACATGCTGTTTACAAGCCTGGGCCGGGGCCACAGCAGGGGTGGGGGGTGGGCCCCCAAAGCCCTTTGCTTGTGGGAGGGCGCCCGCAAAAGGCGTCTGCCACGAAAATCCAGCTGGCCCATGAGACCTCTTTGACCCCATGGATCTGAGACAGTGAGGTGGTGGGGGAACACCAGCAGGAAGCCCTGCCCTCCCCTCCCCAGGGAAGAACGCTGTGTCTCCCACTGTCCGGGGACCCCCCCCGAGAAAGGCCAGGCCAGGGAAGCTGAGCCACGGCTCCCCCTCTTCTATCCCTGAGACACCTGTGCCCGCACCCGCACCCAGGCAGCCCCATCAGGACCGTGGGAGCTGCAGCACCAGGTAAACCGCAGGGACCAAATTCTTGTGGCATCACTGTGATTGAACTCTTCCGCATGGGCACAGCGCCCGGTGGCTGGTTCTCCAGCCCAAGCGGGGACACCGTCCGCTGACACATCAGATGAAAGTGGGACGCAGAGCCTCCTGGCGTGACAGACAAAACGTCCCGGATACGATGGAAAATCCCCTGTGTGCCAAGAACCGGGACGCTCGCAACACACGTGAGAAAGGACAGTCGCCCGCCGCCAGCATCAGGATGAATCAGGTGCTGGGATGACCTGGCGACAAGGCTTCCAGGACCGCATGAAAGCCTCGTTCATACAGGGGGAAAAAACCAAAACAAAACGGTCGCCTGGGTGGCTCAGATGGTTAAGCGTCTGCCTTCGGCTCAGGTCGTGATCCCAGGGTTCTTGGATCGAGCCCCGCGTCGGGCTCCCTGCTCAGTCCCTGCTTCTCCCTCTGCCTCTGTCACTCCCCCTGCTCGTGCTCTCTCTCTCTCTCTCTCAAATAAATAATATCTTTAAAAAAGATGACAAGGACTTAAAAAGAGCCATCATGCCAACATTAATTTT